AAAGAAACAGGGAAACCATCTTGATGGTTCTTTTTTGGACAGGCAATGACCATAACTTCAGGTTATTCAGTCTAAATAATATATGATGAACTGCTGAGAAACAATAAAACAATAATTCATGTCAGGATCATGTTTTATATACCTATTACCCAAGTTATCTTTAAAACAGCCCATATGATAGAAGCTGAGGAACATGATAGTAAGTGCATTTCTTACATTCACACACTTCATCATACATGTAATGGAATCTTGAATAAAAAACATGTTCCATAAAACATACATGTAAATCATTCTGTAATGGTGTGCCTGTAAGCATCAGACGCTGTCTTGCATGTTTAGCTATAGACATCAAATTCTTCCACCTGTAACTGCTCTTGTCTTTCAAAGCATGAGCTTCATCCATTATTACGCAACTCCATTTCCAATGTCTAAGAATTTTGCGGTCATCTTTCTGTTGCACACTGAAATTAACTTTCAGTCGACAATAAACTGATAAAGAGAACAAAATGATCAAGTTTTTTCAGCAAAACAAAAATCTTGGAAGTAAAAACCAACCTGTGGCGTTCAAATAATGAATAGCACACAAGAATAACATCAAATGGTGGAGGCAGCCCAGCCTTTCCCAGAGAGCTTAACTCCTTTGAGTAAGCTGAACGTGCAGAACCATGATATTGGAGCACAGATAAAGTTGGACACCATTTCTTAAGCTCCCTTTCCCAATTTTCCAAAACAGAAGCAGGACACACAATTAAATGAGGACCAGGGTCATCTTCCAAATGCTTCAACAGAATCAGATAAGTTATGGCCTGGAATACAAAATTCAATTCATTGTAGTGGTCGTGGAGTTAAAAAAGATAATAGCAATGACTGGTCAAATAACAGCAATAAACACACCTGGACGGTCTTACCAAGACCCATCTCGTCGGCCAAAATAGCTGCAAGACAAAATATTATCCACAAACAACTCATGTCAGTAACAACCGGCACTTATTTATCATACTTCATAATAGGTTATCATGCCCCAAAAGAAGCATTTCCAGTACCATCTAAATAACAACCAGCAAGCAGGAGAAGCATGAAGAAAGAAATTGACAAGCATTATGCTTGGACATAGAAGTTTCACAAATGCATGGAAATTTCATTGTATTTAAACTAATTTATTAACTGCTAATTATGGGATTGGCCATAAGAAATAATCATACAACAAAGGAGAAAGAGTTTCAGGTGCCGATAAATTTCATGAACAATTTAAAGCAAAGCAAAACCTCTTAGCGGTAATCATATTATACACAATACCGAATTAGATAGCAAGAAGAAATACCTCCACCAATTTTCTTTCTATACAAAAGGAGAAGAAAGTTGACTCCAATGAGCTGGTATGGCTTGAGCATTGGCTCTGAATCCCCAGCTCCACATGCATCATTTACATCATCCTGCAGTTGAATAAAAGGAATTCAAACTCTCAATCTCCAGTTTTATCTCTCTTCATGTTTACTAATCAGAAATGAAACAGCAGGGACAGTGCTTCAAAAGAAACCTACATAAAACGTTTAGAGATTCTCAAATTTCCCAGCATTTCATGCTATGGCATTCCATTTCCAAAATTCATGAAGTCAAAAATATACCTGAGTAACTATCCTCACTGCAGAAGAACTCAACTCCACCTCTGAGTACCGCTCACAGGCAGCCGTGCTTGTACCGTACAACTCGCGCTTCAACTCAGCCGAAATCTTTTCACACTTGAGCAGAGCCTTCTTAACGACATCTTCCTCCTCTTCTAACTCTTCTTCCTCCGACAACCAAACCTCCAAATCATCCCCCTCGTGGCCGGCACCACCACCCTCCTCCTTCTCATCATCCTCATCATCGTCCTCGATCACAAATCTCTTCCCTCGGGAAGCCCTCCCGCCCGTCGTGCTTACCCCCACGTCGGCGTCCTCGTCCTCCAAATCCTCCAAGTCGTTCCCGGCGGCCGTGTTTCCGAGTTCTTCGGAAGACGAGCTCTCGATTATGTGCACTTTGGTTTTGGAGTAGGCGAAGGACTCGATCGGGGGAGGAGGGTTTTCAGGAGTGAGTTTGGGGTTGATGACGCGGGAGGGTTTGAAGGAATCGGAGTGAGGAGACCATTCGCCATCGGAAAGCTCGATGAAATCTCTATCCCGCTTCATTTTTCGATCAATTAGAAATACTGAAAAAGAGATGAGTCAGCTCGACAGAGTAGTGGCGTCGTAGAAGCGAGCGGAAGGAAGAGTTTTCTTATTTCGACTGAATTTNGCCTTTTACCTATCTAACTATCCGTCTTTCTACACTTTGTCTACTAAACATTTTTTTTGGCACTTAACCGGTATGAACTTTGCATTTTTGTGCACTTACCCACTTCCGGCCATCGGAGATCTTTAAGAAGGATATAGTAGTCTTTTTACAAGAAAAACAACGGACAAAATCATCATCACATACAAAAATTCTTATTTAAATCTGAATCCCTAATTTCCCTTTTCATTCCCAAATCGTTTACATAAGAGGTAAGAGAGAGAGAGAAGAGAGAGAGAGAGAGACTCACCAAATGTCGAACATGGCCTCCCAGGTGATCGACAACAGCAACTTCTGCAGCTGTGGGAAAAGGACTGTAATGAAGACCTCGTGGACAGACCATAATCCGAGAAGAAGATATGCCGCCTGTGAAAAATTTCGTATAATTTTAGGCTTTTTGTTCGAAATTTTTTCCCTAATTTGCAATGTGTGTTGTTCTATTCTAATTATTCAGACCATTAGAAGTTGCAATTACTTCTATTGATGATTAATATTGTTAATTTGCAACCATAAATTTTTTCCCTAATTTGCAACCCTAATTTTTCAATTTGTAACCCTAATTTTTCTCCTTAAACTAGCCCTATTGAACTAATCTGCAGTCCTAATCGAACATAACTTTGCATTGTCTAACTGATTGACAATCAGATCACGCAAGCCTAATTTGCAGCCCTAAAATTTTCCCTAATTTGTAACCCTAAAATTTTTCTCTAATTTGCAACCCTCGTCTTCCATTGGTAACCCTAATTTTTCTCCTTAATTCATCTGCAACCCTAATTGATTAATTTTATTAAATTGATTGATAATTATTCAGAGCAATGAAGTATGCAATTATTTCTCTTGGATTGACCCTCCAATGTGCTTGAGATCTCGACAAATAATTCCAGGGCTTCTGAAACGTGTTAATAGGCTTGAAGATGAGTTGGCTACAAAAAAGTCTAGGGAGAAATTGTAATATCCCTATCAGTAAAGTATCAGTTTTTGTTCCAAGATGAACTAATTTCGAGGCCAAGTATGCAGTTATAAGTTCGAAATTAAAATTCGTTCAAGGAATAAGCCACACGAGTCGTGTGGAATAAGCCACACGAGTCGTGTGAAGCCACACGAGTCGTGTGAGAAGGCACACGAGTCATGTGGGAGAAGAAGAAAAGGAAAGTTAGCTTCAGCTTTTTCACATGAGTCGTGTGACAAGGCACACGAGTCGTGTGGAGTCACACGAGTCGTGTGACCTAAGCCACACGAGTCGTGTGACCGACAGTAAGGTCTGATTATTGAGAATCCGATTGTAATCTCAACCAGAGGCCATTTTTGAGGATTAACTATGTATTTGAGAAGCATACAAGTTAGTCATTAACTAGTTTATGTTTATTTAAGTTTGTAAGTTTTATTTTATTTATTATGTTAATTTCTTCACTCCATCTTCATGTCTTGAATTTGTGCCTATAAATAGAGGCCTAAAATTCAGAATTTTTACACAAAAGAGAATTACCAAAAGTTATACAAGTTTATAAGAGAGAATAAGTAGTAGAAATTTTGGTGAAATGAAGAATTTGGAAGTGAAGAATCAAGTTTCTATTCTAGCAAGAAGGAGGTAATTCATTTATCTAAAAGTTTCATACTAAAGTTCATGCTTTGATAATGAGTTTAAATCATTATGAGTATATATATATATATATATATATATATATATATATCATGATTTAGTAGTGGAGTTTATAATTGATTCTATAAACACAATGAGTTAAAGTTGTTTAAAGATCAATTATATGATATATGTATTTGATTTAGATGTTGACAAAGATAAGAATAAGCTGGAAAAGTATGATTTAAATGAGTAATTCTTGTGTAAAAGAGGAGTACATAAGAACAAGAATTAGTTATTTGGCATAGTATAGCTTGAGTTATAGAGTTTTGAAGTTGAACATGCAAGTTGAATTTTATGTTCACTGTTTTAGTTGTGAATTTAAATTCTAATAACTTGATGAATATGCATGTTAAAATTATGAAATTTTTATGACATGTCTAAATATGAGTTAAGAGAATGACTATTAAATTTCATGATTTAAAGTTGAGAAATGAATGAGTTAAGATAATTAGATGGCATATATGTAAAGATGAGTTTATATACAAGAATATTCATTATATGTTCAAGTTTTAAAGTTAGATTATTATGAAATATTCTCACATAAGTGATGAGCAATTTGGTAATGTTTTAGTTTAATATGTTGAGTATACAATTTTATAAAGTTTGTTTTAAGTCTCACATATTAAGATCATAATTTAATGTTATGATTAAAAGTAGAATTTTATGAGTATTAAGTTGAGATTTTAGTATCAAGTAAGTTTAAGATAAGTTTAAGAGTTTATAAAGTTTTATAAATCATGAATATGATGTTGGTGAAAGTTAAGCATGTTTTGAGTTTAAGTACTCAATCAAGTATAATGTGAAATTTAGTTATTTTCACACTCGAGTTATTTAAGCGACATGCGAGTATAAGCTAATATCTATGTTTTTCAATACATGATTTATATGGGTTAAGTAATTGACCTTGAGTAAAAGTTCAAGAAAAGTTAAGTTTTAGTATTCAATTGAGCAATAGCATGCTTATTGAATTTCTATAAGATTTGGATAAGTTATCCGTTAGAGTTAAGAATCCTAGTATCTTATTGAGTATACGAGCATAGTACTTAGTATATTTGTTTATATTTTTATGTAACTTGCAGATACAATTACCCAGCACAGCACTTACCGTTTTTCAAAAGTTTTTAAAGAATAAAGGTGGGTACCCAGAGTGGGTATTACATTGAGTACGATATTGATGTCATCAAGTTTATACGCTTGGGATGAGGATGCTATCAATTGCCTTACAAGTATATCCTAAGTTCTGATGGAGGCCATTTAATTTGCGCCTTAGAAATATCCATCAGAGTGTACACACGTATCCGATCAGATATCGAAAAAGTTTAAAGATTAAGTTTCAGTACCAGAACAGATTTCTGGTTCCAGTTACCGATTAGATATCGGTTACCGGTCAGATACCGGTTTATGATTATCTTTATTCAGTACTCATCCCCATAAGTTTATTTTCAGGTAACAGGTCGAAGAGAAGGTGTGAGTGGAACAGTGTTGGTGTGGACCGTGGACTCAGACTGTGACAAGCTTTTATGTGGACATTTATAGCAGTCTGTATAATTAATCATGTTTTTAAGTATTTTCGCTACGCATATTAAGACTTGAACTTGCATTTTAATAAATTTCAGATTTCAGGTTTTTACAATTTCAGAAGTATGAATATGGTACAGTTAAATGCAAGTTTAAATAAATCTGTTTTCTTTATGTCTAAAGTAGTATTAGACAAAGTTTAAAAATAAATGGATTTCCAGAAAAGATAAGTTTGAGTAGCATCCCGAGTGAGTCACAAAAGATTTCGAAAGATTTATAAGTATTTTCGAAGTAAAAGTTGCGAAAAATTTACTCTGATAAGCGGGGTGTTACAGGTGGTATCAGAGCTAGAGTTTTAAATGCTCTGTATACTAAAAGCTTAAGTTTATGAAAGAAAAATTTTCGGAGAAGCCAAAGTCTATACAGAAAGTGTCAAGGAAACCCGACCACACCTCACTCACACCTCGCCGACTACCGGGTAAGTGCTGTTAAAAGTTTTATACAAGTTTTTAAATATATTCAAATTTACTAAGTCTATGCTTAATAGGAATTCAGATATTCAAACTCTAGAAATCAGTCTAGATGTTCATAATAATATTTAGTAGTATCATATATATCTTCCTATCAAAAGTCAGAATTATTGTTAGAATTCAAGTTTGAACTCTAGCTTATCAAGTTAATCTTCACGATAGATTAAGAAAGAGACTCGAACATTCTAAGTTAAGCCATCAGATTAAGTTTTGAGTTAAGATCTGACTCTAGAGGTTGACTATGTATTTGAGCCAGTATCAGAAGTAACAGTTTTTCAGTGCATAATAGCCATAAGTCCGGGTAAATCATGGAGGTTTGAAATAAGAACCATAAGCCGGATAAGATCCTGGAGGCTTGAAACTGAACCGTAGAAACATAGTTTCAGAAAGTAGTCGATCTTTAGAGTCAGAAGTTTGGGTATCTTATCAGTTAGATATCATGAACTAAAATTGGCAAAGTTCGAGATCAAGTTATCAATTATTCTGTATTAGTACTTGTTAGTGACAGTACAGCTTTACAAAGTACTTTTCAGAAACCAATGAGTATGAGTTTAAGGTATCGACATATAATAGTCATTTAGCTGGGTAAATTATGAAAACCTGGAATAAGGGTTATTAGTCCGAGTTTACATGGAGACTTGAAATCGAATCTTAATAGATATCAGTCAATAAGTATCACATTCTAGATACCGAGATGATTATTTAAACTTCTCAGAAGAATTTTAGAAGTTAAAAGTAATGTGGATATGTAAAAGTTAAAGATAGTCTGTTGAATAGCAAAGACTAATAAGTTTCCATCTATTCATCAAGTAGAATGATGAATTCACAGAAAGGAGCAAGTATTCGTTCCCAAGGATAGATGACGAGTTTAAGGCCAAAAGTAAGCAATTGCGAGAAGAAGCAAGAAAGAGTTAGATTAACCGGAACTCTAGCACAAGCTAGGTGTTTTCGACAAATCATTAACAAATTCCTTAAGCTAAGTGTAGCTATTTATTAATGGATACTATTCAAGTCAAATGATTAGTGGTTATTCTGAATTCCGGTGGGGCAGAGTTTCAAAAACACCACAGAGCAATGTTTTAGAAATATAGAATCCTGACGGAATCAAGAAGATTTCCCAGTCAAGAATCAAGTAGTATTGATGTGTGAATCGAGCATATACGAGAAGAGTATATTTTTGCACAATCCATCCATCTGAACGATAGAAAATCTTAACACCTGAGAAAGTCAAGAGCTAGACAAAGATTGTTGTAGATTCAAGCACACTGTTGAGAATTTCATTATTTCTA